TGTGTTTTCTCAATATTTTTGTTGTGTTTTTGTGTTAGCCATCCGCTTGTGTCATTGCTGTAACTTAATCAACTAGACGCCGTATAACTAGTAAAAAAATGTGTTTTTGACTGGCTCACACCAACATACTAGGTAATATATGCTATACGTTAAGTAATACTAGACAAAAAAAATATATAGTTTCGTTTGCTTACTAGCCTAGAATTGTAAATGTCTATCGATCGAAAACCGAAAATCAAAATACAAACAAACAAACAAATACTCGTATCTCCTCTCTCTTTCTGCACGTAAATACATCGTTGCGTTCTCTTTCCACCATACTTCACTTGCCTGCCCAAGCACGCATGCTCTCTCCATTTTCATTTTCATTTCCATGTCCATTTCTATTTCCTTTTGATTCAGCTGTTCTTGTAGGTCTGAGGGGCTGTGTGGGCGTGGCTTAGTAGCGCTGCTGATACTCATGATGCCAGCGATTGAAGTCAATGTGGAACACAATGATGGAACCAGTTGACAGGCCAGCGAGCAAATATCTATAGAGAGAGAGAGGGAGATATGGAAAAAAAGAAACAGAGAAGTAGACAATGAGAGAGAGAGAGAGAGAGAGAGAGAGAGAGAGATAGTATAACATATTAATCAGTTATGAGTGGTTATACCCCAAAGGCCTGCCTTCGAGTACTTACTTCTGATCATGAGTGAGGGCCAGCGAGCGTATGCCCGCATTGCAGGCGGGGAAGGCATAGAGCGGCGCCAGGTTGAAGGTGCGCCACACCTCGACAATGCCGCGATCTCCGGCGGTCATCAGATACTCGCCATCGCGCGAGAGCAGCATGCACTATAACAGAGAGAGAGAGAGAGAGATGGAGAGAGAGAGAGAGAGAGAGAGATGAAGAGAGATAGAGAGAGAGGTAAAGGCCGATCAATTTAGTACCCAGAGATTCAGCTGAGTGGGCGTGGGACTCACCTGCAGATTGTCGTTGTGTGTCTCGTGGCGCAGCTTCTTGCCATTGATGGTGTAGGCCGCGACGTTGCCCTTGTCATAGTTGATGACTATGAAGCCCTCGCGCGACATGGTTATCAGCTCCGGCGAGTGGAAGTCGACGGGCGGGTCCAGCGAGCGCAACAAGTCGCCAAAGGTTGTGTGTATCAAAACGGGACCGTCTAGCAAGCAAAAGGCGAAAGGACGAGAGACAGAGAGAGAGAGAGAGAGGGAGGGAGGGGGAGGGAGAGATCGCATGTTAGTCTAGGCCAAAGCTGACAGCGGATGGAACTTACTCGTTGAGCCCGACACAACCAGTCCGAGCTCAGCGCTGATGACCACCGAGGTGACTGCCTGCTCGTGACCCGTGAGCGTGGCACGAGGCGTGGGCACGTCTCCCTCGCCGACAATGCTCTGGGTACGGGCATTCCAGTGCCAGAGCAGCACGGTGCAGTCCGCCGAGCCGGACGCTATGTAGCAGTCCGACGTAATGTTGCACTCGCTGCGGGCCATGCACGTGACGACGCCGAAGTGCCCGAAGACGATTTGCACGATTTTCGCTAGAAAGACGACAGATACAAGGAACGGTACAGGGTGCTATCTCGGTAGGGGCTCATGGATAGAGCGACACTTCACTCACGCCACCAATAGGGGTTGGGTAAGAGAGTGAGAGTGAGAGAGAGAGGGCACTCACCTGTCTCAGTTGCAAACACTCGAAAACTGTTGTCCCAGAAGCCGCAGGCAATGAGGAAGCGACTGTCCACGGTGGTCACAAAGCAGTTCGAGCGAATCTTAAGCATTTGGCTAAAGTTGTCGCCCAAATGGCGACGGCTCACCGCATGGCTATTGTTGTTGGTGCCATGCACAGCTGGAAAGAGGGAGAGAGAGAGAGAGAGAGAGAGAGAGAGAGAGAGAGAGAGGGAAAGGGAAACGGAGTCAATAGAATCCAAGTGCAAGCAGTTAACTTAGCTCTACTTACTCAGCACTGGATCAATGGTCAGCGGCTGATTGGAGCCCGGCGATTGCGGCGACTCAGCGTAGCTTGGACTCTGGACGGATGCGGTGTAGTTGCAGTTCCAGCGATTCACCGCAAACTGATGGCCAGCGGTCACCGTGACGACGGACGGCAGCGATAGCTGCGGATACGTGTTGGCCGAGATGTGTATGATGGGCGAATTTTGATAGAACTTGAGCATCTGGCACAGATCCTCGGGCATGGCACTGAACATCATGGGCGACAGGTGCATGGCCGAGCTGCGCGGTGGATGCGGCTCCATCAGCAGCTGGCTGGGCGTTTGGCCAAAGTTGCGTATTTGATTCTCGACTGCCTCGCGCATCACCGGATCGTGCACGCCGTCCAGATCGACGCTGCCCTCATAGGTGAGATAGTAGAACACGTTGGTGGCCCGGATCGCCTCGGGTCCGCGCTGCTTGTAGCCGAATATCAGATCGATCCACTGGTGCAGCTGGCAGGACACGAACTCCGATTCGAGAGCCATGCGATTGATGCGCACAAACTCCTCGGGGGTCTTGGCCCAGGGGGGTAGCTCGATATCGTCCACCAGGGCGCCATCCTCCCGATGTCCCAGCCGATAGCCGGACGCATTGTAGAACATCTCCGGCAGGAAATACCATTCGGGTATCAGCTCCTTCACATCGGACGTATCGCGCTGGCAGTTCTTCCAGCTGAGCGAAACGGACGAGAACAGTCGATCCGGATAGTCGAATTTGCCGCCCTGCAGTGCCAGGAACATGGACGTGAATGGCTCCACGCGCACCAGCCAGTTGAGAGTGAATGCGGCGGTCGAGTAGTGGGTGCCGTAGTGGAAGGGCGGAATCGTGTCGCTGTCCCAGCTCTCGTAGCGCTCCTCGAAGTAGGCGCGACGCGACGGATTCAGTGCGCCAATTGGCTTCGACAGATCCCGGTAGTTGGAGGGCAGGCTGAGGTCCAGATCCTTGGAGTCGTAGTTGGTGAGCACCCAGGGAAAGATCGGGTACTGGTTCAGATCGTTGTACGTGCGGCCGGCGATCGTGTTGAGGAACATCAAGTACTCAAAGTTGGAGATCTCGCGACGCTGCCATTTCTGTGTCATGTTCGAGTTGCGCATCAGCTGGCGCGGCGACATCATCGAGGCGCGCCGAGTCTGCGGTATGCCGTACTTGATGCCCACGCCGACGCGTGGCAGCGCCTTGATCACCTTCTTGACGGTGTGCTGGTCGGGAAAGGCGAACAGGATGGAGGTGCGGCTGGCCAAGAAGATCTCCAGGGCCACGTTCTGCAGCAGGTAGCGGCGCGAGAAGATGGCCCGCACCTCGGAGAAGTACCATTTGCCATGGAGATGGTCACAGTACTTGAGCACCTCGGCGTCGATCTTGTGGAACTCCGGGTGATCCTCGTCCACCTCAAAGAACATCTCGGTGCTGGTGATCGAGACGGTGCCGGGCGCTACCAGGCCCGGTGCTATCAGGCGCGCCTTGGTGCTGATGTTGACGGGCCCGGTTAGATCCAGATCGAGCTCACGATCCTCGATGAGCAGCTCGGCGTCGTCCAGCAGCTCGCTGTTGTGCTGCGACGAGGGGTGCGCCCGGGACACCGCAATCTGTGTGTGGAACTCGTCCCGCGTCTGCAGGATGGCGTCCTCCGGGGCGCCGTTCTCCAGCGCCGCCTTCAGCGTGGCCTGCGGATGCGAAGAGCCGCGCGGGTTCTGCACCATGCGCTTGCGGCGACGTGCGTCGTCCTCCCAGGCGTCCAGCTTCCAGTAGGTGGTCTTCGCCAGCGGGCCCACGGTCGCCGTCAGCGAGCTGGTGATGGAGCCAATGCCGTTGGCATCGCCCCAGGCGCCATGCCGATTGCACATTATGTTGCGCACCTTCTCTAGGAGTCGGCTGGCGATGACATTGTCGCGACGGCGTGCGGCTGTGATCAGGTGGTCGCACATGCGCTCCTCCTCGCGCCGCTCGAGCAGCGTCTGGGCGCACTGCGACTCGAAGTCGGCGTGTTTGAGCACATCGTCGGCGCGCATGCGGTTCAGTATGAACTCAGCCTCGTTGGCCACGCGCACAATGTGATCCTTCATGGCGTGCGAGAGCAGCCGGCCCTCGTTGATCAGCTCAATGAAGGCGAGGCCGGCGTGCTTCTGCAGGCTGTTCTGCCACTCCTGCGAGCAGAGCAGCATGACCAGCTCGACGACGGAGTGCGAGTTCTTGAACGTGGTCAGACCCTTGCCCTCCATCAGCAGCTCCTGACCGTGCGAGCCGACCAGCGTCTTGGAGAGGAAGGGCGCAAAGTCCACCATGATTTCGCGCAGCAGCGGACACACTGGACCCAGCGCTATCTCCAGCTTCTGCGTGAGGCTCGCCTCGCGCGACGGCGTCGTCAGCGGCAGCTGGGCAACCAGCGCCGGCGGCTTCATGGGCAGCTCATCGGGTCGCGTGCGCTGCTGCTGCTGGGGCTGCTGTGCGCCAGGCACGGTGTTCGCACTACCAGCACCGCCAGCGGCAATGCCAGCACCACCCACACCATAGCCGTCCGGCACACGCACCACCGATATCTCCGAATCGGGCTTATCGCCGCGCTCACTGCCCACGACCATGCCCAGTCGTGAGACGCCCTGTTGCTGCTGCTGCTGCTGTTGCTGCTGTTGCTGTTGCTGTTGTTGCTGCTGCTGGTGCTGGTCATGCTTGCCACTGTCGCTAGCATCCACCAGGCCGACAACGAGTCCTGCACTGGCTGCCGCCTGCACGGCGGCGTCCTCATTCAGATTCACATCGGTCCAGCTCTCGTCGTTCGAGTTGCTCGGCTTGTGATCGTCGGCCAAAATATCGCTGGAGGACTCCACCTCGGGCACCTCGTTCTCCGTCGAGTTCATGTTCAGCGACACCACATCCGAGTCCACGCTCTAAACGGTTCAAGGATTACATGGGAACAACGAATACATTTCAATATATTAAGCAGGAGTGAGAGCCAAAGCTGAAGCGTTTTGTTTTGTGTGGGCTCGACATAACGAAAACAGTGGACAATAAAATGGTGCTGGGGTGGGTGAGGTGGGCAGTGGGTGGGTGCATTGAATGTGAAACATTGCATAGCTGGTGCTGCATAGCTATCGATAGTGCTGCTATCGATAAACGATAGGCTATTCGAGTGACGAGCTAACATCGTATTAGTGACAGAACTAATAGCGTGTATATAGATATGTAAATAATGGCACTCTTTAGTGGTAATCAAAGCTATATGATATCGATAGTCGATACATTGCTGTAATCAATTCGATTGGTGACAGAGCCATGCATATAGATATATATGTGATGACTGTCTACAGTAGTAGTCAAAGTTAGTCTACAGTCTACACTCTTAGAGACTTCGATAGTCGATAAGTTGCATTTATCGATTACACAACCAAAGTAAACTCGCAATCTGCAACATCGATGCTTTAGATTATCACTTGCAGTTGCCTATCGACTAACGATAGTTTTCTTTCGTATTCGATTACTCAGTTACCGGTATTTATCATTTCAGTTTGACGACTTAGCTAACGATAGTTATCGATTACTGGACTTTCGTCCCCTTAATTTGCTGCTGTGCTGTGTCAGTGAGTATCCCTGTGTGTATCTCTGTGTGTGTGTGCTGTGCATGTGTGCGTGTGTATGCGTTCGCTTTCGGTATCGTTTGCACATTAATTATGCACCCTGAACAATAAATCAAATCTCCAGTGCGCTAAGCAAAGCTCATCCTCCGCCCGAATCCTGTTGACCAGCCACGTCCTCTGCATGCTCTTGTCAACACATGCATTTGTCAACGCCACGCACAAAATGTTATCTACAGATCTCTCTATATAGAAAACTACCCCTACCCCTACTCCACCCCCACCATCCCTCTCTCCGGTTTCCCCTCTCTCAGCTACCCGCTACATTCAGTCCCTGTTTGACTGTGATTTGCATAAAAGGCAATCCAGAGCACTCTATCGCTCTCCTGCTCCCACGCTCTACCCATCTCTTTCGCTCACTGTGCTGGCGCTTAAACAAATTTCGCCATTACGTAACTCAGCTCATCCGAAAAGCATTACCCAGAATGGACACGGCGGACAGACAGGACGGAAGGCAGGTTATGGAACGGATAGTCATATGGCAGAATTTGTTAAAGCGTTTGACAAATGTCAACTGTCAAACACAAATGCTGAGCAGAAATGGGCTGAGTAGGTGTTAACACAGCTGTTTCCATATGTGTGTGTGTGCGTGTGTGTGTGTGTGTGACAGCTGTTGCGCCTACGCAATATGCTGCAATATCCTGCTTGAATGTTTGTGCAGCAACTAAAATCAATCGCCTTTTGTTTGGCCCAAAATTGAATACACACAGATGACATCAAACATGTGTGTGTGTGTGAGCTACATGATTAACTGTTCGCATGTGTGTGCGTGGAGTACAGCGAGAGCAGAGCAGGATTTGCTATATTAATAATGCAAGCAGTTCATTAAGAACCCAAAACCGGAAGACGGCACGTCGTGACTGCCGCACAATGAAAGCTGTGTGCGTGCGTGTGTGTGTGTGTGCTCTTACTCTAGTTTGTAACACTAATTGCATACCATATACATGGACATTAACATATATAAATCACAAGACACATACAAACAAATCCATGAGACACACAACAAATCACGTGGCGCACGCAGCCAAATCGAACTGGAGTGCTGTAACTGTGTGTGTGTGAGTGAGAGAGAGAGTGTGTGTGTGTGTGTGTGTGTGTGTAGGCGCGGACTTACGCTGAGATAGCCTAATGATATATTGATTGCATTTAATTGCAATTCAATTTGTATTCCATTTTTCTTTTTTAGCAAATCTCAACGAAAATAAAGAAAGAATAAAAAGGGGTATGCGCGACCCTATAGATGCCCTGTAAAATAACTCCCGCTTTGCAATTCGACATTAAAGTTATAGCCTTTGTTTTCAAGAGAACTCAGAAAGAGTATATAGTTCTTTATATAAACGCAGCATAAAGTTCTAGTTTAGAATATATAATAAGGATGTAATATGAATATAAAATATTTGATATTTGTGGCTCTTAAGGAGTGTAAGAGGTAACGAGGTAAGCGAGGCAAGAGGGAGACTGACAAACAGACAGACAGATTGATGGACTTGATATGCCCACGATATGCCACGCCTTCTTTAGCTTCGTACAGAAGCAAGTTAACAGTTATATAACAACTATCTCGTTATTTCTCGTATATAGTCATTTTGCTTATATAAATAGAATGTTGAGTTCATGCTTGATTGACTTTAGAGCTTCAAGTTTCTCTCTCGACTAGCAAAAGCCAGTAAAATCCCAAGCTAATTAGCTTGGCTTAAGATAGAGAGAAAAAAGAGAGAGAGAGAGAGAAGGGCTGAATGCTGCATCAGTTGTGGCATGCCAGCTCGAATTATCTGCAACGCCTTAAAGTTCATTTAGGGAGTTTATCAGCTGCGGCAGAGGGAATTAAGAATTGCTTGTGTGGCCAGCTGTAAGTCCCATAGATAGCGAAGCGGGCCGAGGAGCACGCGGAGGGCAAATGTTGCATTGTGCTGGTTAATTGATTGCATTGGCTCATTGCTGCAATATTGATTGCATTAATGCGCACGGCTCAGCTCGGCTCAGTTAGTCAATGCTGCTGCCTCTACCTCTGCCTCTGCCTCTGCCTCTGCCTCTGCCCCTACCTCTGCCTTTGCAATTATGCAATGTCACATTTGGTTAGGCCACAAAAGTAAAGAAATTAAATTACAAATTGGCAAACAAACACGGCATTAAGAGTGACAGAGGCAGAGCAAGAACGAGAGAGAGAGAGGGAGAGAGTGCGAGGTGAAAGCAATATGAAAAATCGATTTAAAAATAGTGAAAAACATGTTTCGTCCACACGAATACGAATCGAACAAAAGCGATATGAAAAAGAGAAACAAAAGTTAAATAAATTTCACATGATTTGTGTGCTCTGTGCCGAGAGTGGTCTCTGTGTACGCTGTGTGTGTGTGTTTTGGCTCTGTGGGCGTGGCCTGTGCACTAATTAACACACGAAATGTCAACAAACGTTATGAACTTTTCAATTATATACTTGTGTGTATTCATGTGAGTGTGTGTGTGTGCCTATGTGTGTGTGTGTGGGTGTGGGTGTATCGGATTCCGGCCTATAGCAGCCTTGCAGAGAGTTTTAATCGTGCAATTATTTGCATAGCAATTTATATATTCACAAATATATATGGAAAGCTAAACCAAATTATATCTGCTATTTATATGTATTCACAAATATGTATATATAAATCATATTATAGCTACTATTTGCAAATGTGTTCAAATACTGATTGGGCAACGCAAATGTCCATTAAGTGCCTCCTGCTTCTCTCTAATTAAATGGCTTTCACTCAATGCAACCAGCTATGTTTAGTTTGTCGTTCTTGCCTTTTCTCTGCTTCAGAAGGCATTAGTATACTCTGCCTGGATGGCTACGCTTCTCACTTCTCACTTCTCACTTCTCACTGCTCGCTTCTCGCTTTTAGCTTCCCTCTGAATTCTTCTTCTTTTGGTATTACTCATGTTTCGATTTTAGCTCAAGTGTCCTTAAGTGAAGCTTATAGCAGTCTTTGCTTTGTATTAAATGCCCTCTCGCTTGCTTTTAACTTATCTTCGCTTCTCTCTCCATAGATGACTCAAGTATACTTCTAGCTTAACTTTTCGGTTCCTTTTAGCTGTCTTTACTTTGCTGATTAAAGTCGTCTCTATAGTTTTCCTTAGAACTTATCTACGCTTCTCTCTTCAAAGATTACTTTGATATTATATATGCCTTTTACTCGACTTTTCGATTCTTCTTAGCTGTCTTTGCTTTGCTAGTGAATGCTATCTAGCCTGATTTCAACTTATCTACGCTTCTCTCTCCATAGATTACTCTGATATTATATAAGCTTCTTACTCGACTTTTCGATTCTTTTTAGCTGTCTTTACGTTGCAAGTGAATGCCCTCTCTATAGACTTGCTTTAAACTTATCTTTGATTCTCTCTCCATAGATTATTTTGGTATTTTTCATGCTGCCTAACTTTTCGTTTCTTTAGTTGTCTTTTTTTTTTGCTAGTGACTACCTTGAAGGCAATAGACTATCTTTAAGCTTAACTTTGCTTCTCTCTGCTGAGCTTCTGTTGATAATTTACTATTTCTTACTTTGCATAATTTGAAGCTTCTGCTTTCTCTCACTATATCTCTGTTAATTGCGCTTTTTAACAGCCTTTGTCATTATTAATGCTTTTTGATGACGCTTTTACTTAACTTAAACTTAACTTTGCTTCTCTCTTCTGAAATTCTTTTACTATTTCTTACTTTGCATAATTTGAAGCTTCTGTTTTCTCTCACTTGATCTCTGTTAATTGCGCTTTTCAACAGCCTTTGTCATTATTGATGCTTCTCGCTTTACTTAACTTAAACCCAACTTTGCTTCTCTCTGCTGAAATGCTTTGACTATTTCTCACTTTGCATAATTTGAAGCTTCTGTTTTCTCTCACTTGATCTCCGTTTGATTTGCCAATCGACGATTTGTCTACTGCTTTGATCCACACTTGATTGCGCTTTTTAACAGGCTCTGTCATTATTGATGCTTCTCGCTCTACTTGATTTTTCTCTGCTTTCCTCAAGTGCAGCTTGC